CATCTTTTGATTTCTTGACTGCTGGTGCCAAAAGTGCTGATTGTGGAGCTGAGCACGCTGACATTATTAACAATCTCAATCCCTTCCCCATCTATCATGGTGCTGCCAATTGATACAGTGGTGAAAATATTTGTTTTCTTGATGTTGAGCTTCAATCCATATTGAAGACTACAGTCCTTGACTTTCAGCTGCAAGCATTCCAGGTCCTCTTCAGTTTCAGCAGACAAGGATGTGTCATCTGCATAACATAGGTTGTTGCTAAGTCTTCTTCCAACTCTGATGTCATATTCCTCCTCATAAAGTCCAGCCTCCTGGATGATCTGTTCTGTATGTAGACTGAAAAGGTATGAAGACAGGACCTGTCTGGTAAAGAGGAGGTTACGGATTCAAATTCCAGAGGTGACTAGGTATGTCTAAAAGCAGAAAGAAACAGCTTTATTGAAATGTAATTCATATATATATATTTTTTTTTCACCATTTGATGGGATTGAAGAGGCTCACAGAGTGCACAACCATCATCACATCTAATTTTAGAGAGTTTTCATTGTCCCAGAAAGAAACCTCATGCTCAGCAGTTACTCCCAATTCTTCCCTTCCCCCTGCCCCAGCAAAGACCAATCTATTTCCTGTGTCCACAGATCTGTTGTCTGGACTGTCTGATGAATGGAACTACACAGCGTGTGCCTTTCGTGCCTGGCTCTGTTCACTTATGTTTTCAGGGCTAACGCTGTTGTAGCATCTATCAAAGCCTCATTCCTTTTTATGGCCAAATTATAAATAGAATGACCACAGGGTGGAGAGACCACACGTGGTTATCTGTTCAGTACCTGACTGACATTGGGATCTTTTCCACTTTCTGTCTGCTGTGGTTCTTCCTCTGAACACTCCTAGATAAGCTTGTGTGTGGACAATGGTTTTCAGTTCTCCCAGATACATCTCCATTTGTCGAAAAGTCTGTACTTTTTCTATCGAAATGTCTAGGGCCCTTTCTGAACATCAAGTAGTCTCGCCCCTCAGTTCTTTCCCACTAACCCATGTCTACCCCACTTTATGCCAGTACCATGCTTCCTTCGTTACTGTAGCTTCACAGTGGGTCTAGGAAGCAGGAAGTATGAATCCTCCAAACGCTTCTTTGTTTTAAAGATTATTTTGGACTCTTTCTGTTTCCACATGAATTTTAATATTTCTGGCCAAAAGGGGAGTCTTTCCCTCTCAAGGTCACACTGCCACCCCATGATCCCATGAACAAATAGATGTCCTTATATTAACTTAGAGCTTCAATTTTTTTTTTAGTGAAGGTTTATAAGTCATATTAGTTTTTCATGCAATCATTTATAAACACTTTAAAAAAATTTTTTATAAACACTTTAATACTGTGAATTGCCATTGGTAAATGTGACCCACTTTTGCTCTCTTCTGTAATTTCTTTCAAGAACATTTTGTCATTTTCAGTGTTTTACTTATAAATATTTTGTTCTTTTTAAGGTTACAGTAAATGGAATTGGTTTTCATCTTATTTTTGGGTTATTTTTAATGTATAAAACTCCAACTGAATTGCCTTTTCCACATTCTCAGTAGGGCTATCTGCCCTTGGTACGCATGACTGGTTTGCGGAGAGTCAGTGGAGGTAAAGGAAAACAAAACAAAACAACAACCAAAAACCAATCTCCAGCTGATCTTTGTTTGTGGATCCTGGACCTACAACCTTGCTGAACTCATCTGCTTATCCTAACATATTTGTGTGTGCTGGGAATTTCTTTGCATTTTCCATGTCCAAGATTCTACCTGAACAGAGTGTAGGGATACATTCGTCCTTCTACTTTGGATGCCTTTTCACTTTGCCTCACCTGAGACTGGAGCCACCAGGAGCAATGATCAATAGCGATGACCAGAGTAAAGGCAGAACTTTCTTGCTGGGAGTGAGGAATTGCCATGTGTCCCTCCTTGACCTTGCAGAGGTGGGGGCATTGTCAAGCACCAAGCCTCCTCCAGGTGGGGACACTGCATCCCATCCTGTTTGGGGACCAGGACAATGAGAACTGGAGAGCCCTTTGTGTATGAGGTGGGACCCACAATCATGGGACCAGGAGGGTCCCACTCTGGGTCCTTTACAGCAGCTGAGTTAAAATAGGAGAGACACGATCAACCCCAGGAGTTACCCAAGCTGGGAGGCCAGATGCAGCCCCATGTAGGAGGTCCATGGCAACGGGGGGGGGGGGGGCCAGGTGTGCACAAGGGGACTTCCTAATGGGAAGGGAGAGGGTAGTAGTATAGATGAAGGAGATCTCTGCAGATGAGGGGTGTCCTGGTGCAGGCAACGTGGGCGTTCACAGTGCAATAGCGGTGTCCAGGTATAAAGAAGGCATTCAGTGTCGACAAGGGAGCTTCCCTATGAGGACAAGGGAGATCCTGGTACAGACAAGAGGAAGAATAAAGGACTGGCCTTGTGAGGATGAGGGGGTCTCTGAGTGGACAAGGGGGGCATGGCATGGATGAGTGGGGGCCTTATTAGGGGGATCCTAGTCTGGATGAAGGAATGGATTATTCAGGAGGCTAGAATTTATAAGGTGGAATGCAGCATCAGGACTGGAGGAAGAATCATCAACAACCTGTGTAATGCAGATGATACAACTCTGCTTGCTGAAACCAAGGAGGACCTGAAGTGCTTGCTGCAGAAGGTCAAGGACTGCAGCCTTCAATATGGACTGAAGCTCAACATCAAGAAAACAAAGATTCTCACCGCTGGGCCAATTGGCAGCATCATGATAGAAGGAGAAGAGATTGAGGTTGATTATAATTTCAGCTTCCTCGGCTCTATAATTAATGCTCTTGGCACCAACAGTCAAGAAATAAAAAGTAATGGTGCTGGAGAAGAGTATTGATCATATTATGGACTGCCAAGAGAACAAACAGATCTGTCCTGGAGAGGGTGAAGCCAGGCTGTTCCTTGGAGACAAGTATTTTTTTATTATTATTCTTTTTGTGTGAGTGTACCGTCAAATCAGATCTGACTGGTACAGGAGGAGATTGTCCCTCCTTCCCCGGCAGAGCATCTGGTGGATTTGAACCGTGCACCTCTGGTATTGTAGTTGCAGCTCCTTACCACTAGGCCACCAGAGCTCCGAAGACAAGTATTTTGAAATTCCCTCTCACATAATTTGGGCACGTAGCCAGGTTGGTTATCCAATGCCGACAGAGAGTGGGGTGGAGCTCCCCAAATAAAACACGCTTGGAAACAGGAGTAGCTTGGCTCCGGAAACCCTATGAACCTGGAGAGAGGATGAAAGGCATCCAAAGCATCGAGGACTCTCCTTCATTGGGTCGCTATGAGTCGCCTGCGACTCTACGGTACTTAACAACAACAACAACAGCCAGGAGAGACCAATCCTTGGAGAAAAACATTTTGCTTGTAAAGGTGGAGGGACAGCGCAGGAAAGGAAGACCCCAGATGACATGGATTGACACAGTGACTGGGTAATGGAGGTAGGTGTGTCAGAGACAGTGAGACTTGCTCAGGACGGACAGAGTTCAGAGCTATGGTACTTATGGTCGCTATTAGTCACAGGTGACTTGACAGCACATAACATCAACGGTTGTTGTTGTTGTTGTAGGTAAACTATGACGGAAGTGGATGCCACTCCTCCTTCCAAGCTTGTTTTAATCTGGGAGCTCCACCCCACTCTCTGTCCGCATTGGGTAACCAACCTTTAACGCAACTAGTACACCAACATCAACGGTATGGAAGGAAAAAAAGAGGGGGCTCTGGTGGCATTAAGAAATTGCGCTACAATCCCAAAAGCACATGGTTCAAATCCACCATCTGCTCTACAGGAGAAAGACGTGCAATCAATCTCCTCCTATGGATTTGCAACCTCTGAAAACCCAAGGGACAGACGGTCGGCTATGGATCGGTTCCGACTCAACGGCACACAAAAACAGGTATGAAAAAAGAAAAAAATATAACAAGTACAAATGAGGGGAAGAACGAGGGGAGTCCCAGTGATATGGTGGGATGTTTGTCTTATAAGACATATAAAAAGGGGGGGATTGATAGGGTGGTATTAATAAATTCGGAATTCTCTAAATAGGCTATCTTATTGGTAACTGACTACGGAAAGAACCCCTTGTGTTCAGTAACACCAGTGCGGACAAGGAGGGAGCGGATCCTGGAGTTGATGAGATGGTATGGACGAGGGGGTTTGGTGTAGACAAAGGGATCAGGGCGCTGTCGGCCTGGACAACAGAGGTGGGTCACCTGGTTGGGTCGGGCTGGTCCAGACAGAAGGACGCGAGTTAGTAGTGGGGGCTGACCTTCAGCAGGGAATCTCCAGTGCAAAGTCCACCGTCTGTCGTCCCACCCCCCCAATTCCGTCCGGTCCCAGGTCACACCCTCGCCGTAGTAACCCCGCCCCTCGCTCCCTCGCCTGCCGGGACATGTAGTCCGGCACTTCTCAGGGCGAAGGACTCTAAGTTCCAGCGAGCACCGCGGCGGGCATGCACGTCCCGCCCACCCGCCCTTTGCCTGCCGGGAATTGTAGTCCAGCCCACGCAGCGCCTGGGGTACGGGCCAAGTGGAGGGACTCGATTTCCCAGCGCGCCGCGCGCAGGACCACGTCCCCGCCGCTCCCGCCGCCGCCGTCTCTGCCGCCGCTGCCGTCTGCGCCGAGCTTTCTGTGCCGCCGCAGCCGCTTGGCGAGCTGCGAGGCCGGTGGCCGCGATCGGAGGCTGCGGGTGGGGCCTCCGCGGTTACTGCTGAGCGGGCCGGGGGAGGCCGGGATGGAGCCCCTCGGAGGTGGGCCGCTGCCGGGCCGGGCCGCTCCGGGGCGGTTGTGGGGACGGGCCCGGGCGGGGGGTGGGGGCGGGAAGAAGGTCGCCGGGGACGGGGGCGCGACCGACCGGCCTGTGTCCCCGCAGTGGACTGAAGTGGCGGCCGGCCTGGAGTTGAGACGAATCCCAGCGCCCCCTCGGGTTGCGTACGAATGGTGAGACTGCCGCGGGCGGACATGGCTCATCTCAGGGGCTTTGCCAACCAGGTAAGAGGAGCGCGCAGGTGTGCCCGAGATGAGTGCGCGCGCGCGTGGGTGTGCGCGAGGGTGTGTGCTCACATGAGTGTGTGTCAAGGCGAGGGTGAGTGTGCCCACGGGTGTGTGCTCACGTGGGTGGGTGCCCAGGCGAGAGTACGTGTGTCGCAGGTGAGAGTGTACCCACAAGTGTGACCCCAGACGACAGTGGGCACGGTTGTACCCCTCAGATGAGTGTGTGTTGCCCAGTGTGCTGCAGTTGAGGTGAGCGTAAGTGTGCGCACTGCAGATTGACGTTTGTTACATGGGTGTGTGTCTTAGAGGACAGGTGTGGGCCCCAGCCTGTGTGCGTTACTCACACCACCACCACTCACCGGAGGGTAGTGAGTGTGGATAGGTGTGTAAGTGCATACCAGCCGAGGGGGGATGAGAGCATGTGTGAGAGGTGTGTGTGCACATATGTGGATCCTGCATGAGTCAGCGTGAGTGTGTGAACACATGCAGCGTGCACACGACTTTATACACACACAGGTCACTGTGAAACTGGGTGAGAGGGAAGGTCGCTGAGTGAGTGTGTGTGTGAGCGGGGTGACCCCAGGTGAGCCCTGATGGGTCAGGACCCAGGTGCACTGGGTTTGTGTCACTGAGGGAGCTGGAAGGCTGGCATCCGGTGGCACTGTGTGGAGCAGTGAGGTCCTCCGACTTTGCAGCAAATGCAGAGTGCACCTTGTGTTCACCGCGTGTGCTCACGACCTCGGTGACCCCGTGGGGTAGTGCCCATGGGGTCGTGTCCAAGTCTGTGCAAGAGGACTGGCGAGGCTGTGGCCGCCCTGGGAGTCTGCGTCTGGAGCCTGTGCTAGCTCGCTCTGTCCCTCAAGGGTGGCCTCCCTGACCTGCCCCTACGCTGACGACTTGCACCCCCACTTTCTCTGCTCCCTGTGCTTACTGCCCCTACTTGTTACCCTGACTGCCTTCTGCCTGCACTGACTGCCCACCCTGTAACGATCACTCCCACACTGATCGCTCCACCTTAGTGACCACCTGTGCTCCACTAACAATCCTCACAATGGCCCCTACCCCTGTCCTGACCGCCTCCCAACCACAACTGTTCTCTCACCGCCTTCCCCCACACTGACTGCTGACCACCCCACTGCACTGACCACCTGCCTCACACTCACTGATGGCCCCCCCCTGACAACCTGCCCTCACACCAAGCCTCCCCCCAAGAACTCACAAGTGGACCCTGAGGAACTCTTCACCAAGCTAGACCGCATTGGGAAGGGCTCCTTCAGGGAGGTGTACAAGGGCATCGACAACCGCTCTAAGGAGGTTGTGGCCATCAAAATTATTGACCTGGAGGAGGCCGAGGATGAGATCGAGGACATCCAGCAGGAGATCACCGTGCTGAGCCAGTGTGACAGCCCCTACATCACCCGCTACTTCGGCTCCTACCTCAAGGTGCTTGGGGGCACTGCTGGAGGGGCCTGTGCTGGTGCCCGTGGGGCTGAGGGTCTCTGTATCTCAGGCTTGAGGGTTACATTGTCCCACCCCAGGCCCTGCGATGTGAGCCCCAGGCCACTCTGGGGGGGGGCGTGGCTGGGAGTGGGGTGGGCAGGAGGGTGGAAGTGTGGCGGGGGATGGGGGAGCGAGCGGCAGGGAGTAGGGTGGGGCTGTGACAGGGGTGGCCCAGGCGGTGACTCTGCTTCTGTCGCAGAGCACAAAGCTGTGGATTATCATGGAGTACCTGGGCGGTGGCTCAGCGCTGGACCTGGTGAGTTGGGCACTGGGCTGTGTCCACGGTGCGGATGGGGACTGGACCTCGTGTCTTGTGGCAGGGTTGTGTCCTTGGTGGGGCAGGGAAAGCCGGTGTCACATATCTGTTCCATGGCGACTGCAGCTGAAGCCAGGTCCCCTGGAGGAGACCTACATTGCCACTATCCTTCGGGAGATCCTGAAGGGACTGGATTATCTGCATTCAGAGCGCAAGATCCACCGTGACATCAAAGGTGAGGACATTTGGAGTGTGAAGGGTACCTCCTGGAGCAGTACGTGAAAGAGGGGTGTACACCTGGGGCAAGTGTGGGGGACAGGACACCTGAGCACATGCAGGGTTAGGGGGCATCTGGAGTGCAGTGCAGAGTGAGATGTACACTTGAAGCCTGGCACTGGGGCGAAGTTTACACTGGGGTGTAGTACTGGGGAATGGCACATAGAGGTGGGGTTTACACTGGGATGTGGCACGGGGTGTAGACAGAGGCATCTTACACTCAGGACATAGCACTGGGGGCAGCTTGCAGAGGGGCATGGCAATGGGGAGTAGTTCACACTGGGGTTTGGCAGTGGGGGCCGTGTACAGTGGGGGCGTAACACTGGGGGAGTGTACAACTGGGGTGTGCCACTGGGGGGTTGTACATCGGGGTGTGGCACTGGGGGTGTAGCACTGGGGGGCTGTTCACCTGGGGCATGGAACTGGGGGGGTGTACACCACCCGGGGCGTAACACTTGGGGCACGTACACCCAGGGCATCTAACTGGGGGTGTACACATGGGGCATGGAACTGGGGGATTGTACACCCAGGGCGTGCCACTGGAGGGGTCTGTACACCCGGGGTGTGCCACGGCAGGGGTGTATGTTGGTGCATGGGGAAGCAGTTTACACTGGACGGTGGTTTACACCCTGGCATGGCACTGCGATGGTTTACACTGGGGCAGTTTACACCTGGGACGTGGTTTATGCCTGGGGCGTGGCACTGGAGGGTAGCCTACACCTGGAGTGGGGCACTTGAGAAGAGTGTCACACTGTAGGATCCTGTTTGTGGTTTGGTATGTGGTTGTGTGCTTGAACAGGCCCGAGAACACTGAGCTGTCACTGTTACCACTGAGGCATTCTGGCAGGGCGACAGCTGTCCCTCAGGTCTCTCCTGCCACACTGACCAACTGGGACATTCACCAAAACCAGACTCTGGGCTGAGTGCTGGAGGCTGGGACGTGCTCTGGGTCTGTCCTGAATGGCCCTGCTGGAGTAGCTCTCCTTGGCTTTCTTGTGCAGCTGCCAACGTGTTGCTGTCAGAGCAGGGTGATGTGAAGTTGGCGGACTTTGGGGTGGCAGGCCAGCTCAGTGACACGCAGATCAAGAGGAACACCTTTGTGGGCACCCCTTTCTGGATGGCGCCGGAGGTCATCAAGCAGTCAGCCTATGACTTTAAGGTGGACATGGCAGTGGGGGGGGGGACTCGGGGAACTTTCTGGAGGCTTGAGGGTGAGTCATGCTGACTGCAGGTGCCTGTATCACTCTGTCCAGGCAGACATCTGGTCTCTGGGAATCACAGCCATAGAACTGGCCAAGGGGGAGCCCCCAAACTCTGACCTACACCCCATGCGTGTCCTGTTCCTGATCCCCAAGAACAACCCCCCGACGCTGGAAGGCCACCACAGCAAACCTTTCAAGGAGTTCGTAGAGGCCTGCCTCAACAAGGACCCCAGATTTGTAAGTCCCCTGACAGGAGGACCCTTCCCTTCCTGCACTGGAACTGAGACCACAGGGCTGAGGCTGCCTCTTTGACTGAGAACCCACTCTGAGGGCCCCTGTTCCGTGTGAGCCTGGCTGGAATCTCAGCCGGGTGGGGCCCTTGCTCACTCAGGAGATGTATCCTGGTGAGGGGCCCCTAGCTAGGAGGGGTGGCCCTGCTGGGAGGCTCTGCAGTGGGAGGGCATGTGGCTCAGGGTTAGGAGGCGTGTCCTGGTGGGTGACCTTGGTGGCCCCTGCCCACAGAGGCCTACTGCCAAGGAGCTCCTGAAACACAAGTTCATAGCCCGCTACACCAAGAAGACGTCCTTCCTGACTGAGCTCATCGACCGTTACAAGCGCTGGAAGTCCGAGGGACATGGAGAGGAGTCCAGCTCCGAGGACTCGGACATGTGCGCTCCGTGTATCATGGGGAGGGACTGTCAGACTCTGGGGGCGGGCCAGGGCCCCATCCCCTGTGCACTGCTTGGCATCTGCTGCTGGTCGGTCCATACCCAGCTGAGGTGGCCTTGTTGGTGCTGAGATGGTGTGGGGACCCCACAGTGTACTTAACTCTTCATTTCCCTCAGCGATGGTGAGGCAGAGGATGGTGACCAGGGCCCCATCTGGACCTTCCCCCCCACCATTCGCCCCAGCCCTCACAGCAAGCTGCACAAGGGTTCTGCCCTGCATGGCTCCCCGAAGGTCAGTCTGTAAGCAGGACAGGGAGAGGTGGGGCTTCCTCTTCTGGCACGTTGGCCAGCCTGGCCGCCTGAGTGGGCCCTGGGTCTGTGGAACTGGGAGTATAGTTCTTGGGCTAAACTGGGTTGCAGAGCTGCTGGGCAGAGGCAGAGCCGAGGGGTGGGACCTGCTCTCAGTCCCATTCCTACAGTCCGCAGAACCAGTGCAGCGTCAGCCGAGGTCCCAGAGCCTGTCCACACTAGTCCGGCCTGTCTTTGGAGAGGTGAGGGACATGTGGGTGAGTGGGTCAGTTGTGCTTACGCTTGGGCTGCATGGACAGCTGGCACAAGAGGAGGGGTGGAGCCCAGGCCCTGGACTGGAAGGGGCCCCCCTGCTCCAAGGGCATAGCACCTGGCAGGTGGCCCCATGTGGATTCTCCATCCCCCTTCGGGCCAGCAGCACTGAGAGAGCACAGAGGCTACCTAAGGGCCTGGTGAGGTAGGTGTGGCCACAGTGGCTGCTGAGGAGAGGTGGGGGCAAGGCTGCAGCTGGCTGCACCATCATCTCCTAGTCTAGTGGGGACCTGTGGAGGACTGTGGTTGTGGGTATAGTGTGTGTGGTGAGGCTGCAGGGGCACTGGGCTGGCTGTCCTGTCCCTTTCTGGCTTGGCGCTCTAGTTATTGGGTCAGGGTATGCTGACTTCCCCGGTACTTGGCACCTGAAGACAGAAGTGTGACGGTGTACAAGTAGAGCAGGGGTTTGGTGAGGTGCCTGGCCCTGACTGGCTCGGTCAGGAGGGCTGTTCCAGGCTTAGGCCTGGCCGGACTTTGATGGCCTTGCTCACTGGTGCTTGCTGGTGGTGTGTTGGGTGTCGTGGGACCCTATGATTTACTGACCTCTGTGAACTTGGCTCCAGCCTTGGGTGCAGGGGACAGGAGTTTGAGGACCCTTGGGAGGTCTGGGTCGGTGGCCACAGGGGCACATGGCCATCAGTGACCGTGGGTGGCATGTACCCTCAGCTCAAGGAAAAGCACCGGCAGAGTGGTGGGCGTGCAGGGGCACTGGAGGAACTGGAGAATGCCTTCAGTCTGGCCGAGGAGTCCTGCCCCGGCATCTCTGACAAGCTGGTGGCCCACCTGGTGGAGCGGGTACAGAGGTGAGAGTGAGGGGTCAGGCCAGCACTTACGCTGCCCGGGTGCATGCAGGGCCCCTGCTGTCTCTCCTTGGGGGTCAGGACCATGGCAGGGAAGGTGGGGTATCAGGGTGGATGCTGGTCCGGGAGGCAGTTGACTTCTACTCCATGCACCACACCACCTCCTTCGCTGATGGCCCCTCCATACAGGTTCTCACACAGCAGGAACCACCTTACGTCGGCCCGCTGAGGTCACTCTGCCTTGCCTGAAGGCGCAGCCCCTGACACGGACAGCACAGAGAGGAGCCCAGAGTCCGTCCAGACACGGTCACCCCATGCACTTGGCTTCCTGAGCCCTAGCTGGTGTTGCAGCAGGACACGTGGGAAGGGCCTGGCGTGGCTCTGAGTCGTCCAGGCCCCCATGGGGCAGGGCCCATCCTTGTGGCTCCGGGACTCTTGGGTCCACGCGGGCTGAGGGGCAAAGCCCCAGGGCAGGATTGTCCCTGCCCTCCTGCTATAGAGGGGCCGGACTAGGGGACAGGGCTGTGAGGATGCCTTGTCTGGTATCCTGCCTGGGTCTGGGACAAGCCCAGCCCCTGCCTTCTCCCAAGTGGCCTGGGACAAGCTCTGCCCCTGCTGTGTCCGTGTCACCCAGTCTTTTGTTCCTCCGAAGATGAACTTTATTCCCTTACGTATCCCCAGGTTAAGCTGTTTGAGAGGACACTTTGAATAAAGACGTGAACTGGGGCAGGGGCACGATCCACACTGACTGACCTGGGGTGTGCACGTCCCTGGGGCGGGGCCTTCAGAACAGAGGTGCCCAGCAGCCTGTAGGAGCTATGCTTTATTTGCTGTACCGTTGGCTAGGGGGTGCTCTGCTGCTGTTAGACTGCTGGGGGCAGAGGACTTAGACTGCCATTTTGGCTGGCTTCTCTCAGAGGCTTTCTGCTGGACATGCACCTGCTGGCGCCCTGCACCCACTTGGCTCAGCTGGGCCTGGGATTGAGTGCAGGGTCTCAGCTGGGAGCCCTGGTGGGTGTGTCAGTTGGCCTGCCTGGCAGATGTCAGATGTGTGTCTTGGTCAGCCACTCTGCTGTCGGGAGAGGAGAGGGCTGGGTGCCCCCTGCCTCCAACAGGCACCCTGCATCCCCAATGTGAGCCTGGTGCTTCAGACTGGTTGAGGGGAAGCCTCCACTGTGGAGCCACTGGATTGATGGGATACTGCGTGGGGGCCATGGCGACAGCTGATGAGACACTGGCCCCACCCGTTCCTTGGCAGCTACCCCTGTGTCCTCTGAGGGGTGACCTTATCCTCAGCCTTCACCACTCTTGCTGTCCCTCTTGGGTCTTGTCCGGCCTTGGGGAGGTCTTTGCGGATGTGTTGCCAGCCCTGGAGATCACCTCCATCCACCTGCAGGGGGTGTCACAGTACTCACCAAGGGCTCAGCTGGGCCCGAGCCAGTGCCACCCAAGAGAACCCGGGGTGTGGGTAGAGGACGGCCAGGACCTCGGCCCCCAGGTCCTGGGCGGGAGTCACCTCTCAAAGGTGTACTTGCTCTCTGCGCGGAAGAAGTAGACATGGGACTTGAACTGCAGCTTGAAGACATGTTCCTTGTGGATCCCGTCAGCTTCTGTGGGGATGCTGACCCTGTAGCCCAGCAACGGCAGGCTGGCCAGGGGGTAGTCGTCCTGCATGATGGAAGGCACAGGGTTCCAGGGGCGGGGTACAGGCCACTTTGACCACTTGTCTCCCCAGGTGTCCACAGTGCTAGCAGATGGGGGAGGGTAGCACTGCCCTCCATGTGTACCCCCAGAGTGGGAGAAATGGGAAGAGTACATACACGGGGGTCCTGTGATCCCCTACCTGATGGGTCTTATAGAAGAACAGGCAGAAGTTGGTGAAGACCACCCAGAGCTTTTGCCAGCCATTACTGTTCTTGAACTTTCTCAGCAGGTATCCAGAAAGCTGGTTCTGCCGAGGAGGGACAAAGGCCCTGAGATGGGCCACCCCATGCCCCTGTGACCCCACTATCCATCTCCCCATTTCCATCATCCATCCCCTTGTCCCTACCATGTGTCCACTCTCTACCACCCATTCTCCTATCCCCATCACCTGGCATCCTGTCCCCACTGCTCATCTCCCGTTTGTACCCCCATCCATCCCAACATCCACATCACCCCCTGTCCTGTCGCCATCACCCTTCCTTCACACCTGTCCTGCCATCCCACCATCTCCACTGCTTGTCCCTTTCTGTATGCACTGCTTCCTGACCCACCTGTCCCCCAGCCTCACTGCCTGTGCCCCAGAGATGCGGCACACTTGTCAGACCACAAGGGTTGAAGTCAGGACTGTTCTCTAGGTGTGTCCACCTGGCTGCTAGGTATGGGAGGGGCAGGCTCAGTGCACATGGTGCCTGGGTTAGAACTCGGCCTGGCCAGCAGCGAGGACAGATAGTTGTAAAGACATGGAGGAGCAAGGTGTGGCATTAGGGAGGGCACTGCTCACGGTGGCAGGTGGCATGTGTACCTCGACCGCAGCGCTGAGGTCGGCCCGGGACACACTCGTGTTGCGGTACCAGCACACATGCAGAGTGGTGTTGGTGCGGCGCTGGCCCGGCCCTTCCAGGCAGTCAGGGGCGCCCCTGGACTCGTCCTCTGAGTCCTTCTCTGGGGAAGCTTTGTCAGAAGACCCTGAGGGAAGTGGCATGTCAGCAGCAGCAGAGCTGGAAAGCTTCCTGCTGGGGCCCAGGGTAGGTGAGCTGCCCAGGGAGACTGTCCATGGTGGCCAGAGCTGGGGGGCACCCCGCTGGGGCCTGGGATGGGTGAGTCTATTCAGGAGGCCCTTCAGTGCCACTCACCAGGGCTGTGGGCATGTGCAGGGCTAGCCAGGACTGCAGGGCCTGGACTGCCTTTCTTGGCTGCCTCGATTGCTGTGTCAAGGTCACCTAGCCACTTGTCCATCTCCGTGCGGGTGCTGTGGGGGCAGAAGGATCGGAACCTGCCCACCACAGCGGCTGGGGCCCCACCCAGAGCAGCTCCCAGGAAGACAGCCCTGTGGGCCTGACGTCTTGGGTGCTTTGGGAGGAGGAGAGAGGACTGCAGGGCTGGCAGCCATGAGTGGACATTAAGGTCACCCTCCCTGTGCCCACTCCACATGCTGCTCACTTCCTGGTAGGGCTGGGAACTCACGTGTGCAGCACAGGAAGGCCTCACCTGGCGGCCACCACAATGGTCTTCTGAGCAGCGTAGATAGTGAAACAGTGCGGGACTGACCACTCATTCTCACTCTCCTCCACCTGCAGGTAGATGGACAGACACTGGGAACAGAGCTGGGCACCAGGGACCCCATGGCCCGAGTTACAGGGCACTAATGGGGAGTCTATGGGACATGAGCAAGTGTGCTGAGCCCGGTACTCACCGGTGGGTCCAGCACTATCAGCTGAAAGTCAAGCACAGAAAGAAGATTGAGAGTCCTCCCCGTCACTGGGGGTGGGGGCGAGTGTCCCCGTCACTGGGGGTGGGGGTGAGTGTCCCCGTCACTGGGGGTGGGGTTATAATACATCCCTGTCACTGGGGGTGGGGTGAGTGCCCCCATCACTGGGGGTGGGGTTAGACATCACTGTCACTCACTGAGGGTGGGGTTGAGGGGGTTGAATGTTGCTATCACTGTCACCTGAGAGTGGGGCGGCTTGTTTATAACCTGGACCCAACCATCTTAGTCAACCCCAAGGGAAGCTTTTTGGAAGACTCCCCCATCACACAGCTGCCTCTGAGCAGCATGGGGCGGTCAGGCCCACCTAATCCTGGGCCTCTGCCCAACACACTATGTGACGCTGACTGTTCAGTAATTGATGAATTTCCATGGAGCTTCTGACAGACGTCAGTGCCCTGACCGAGCCCAAGTGTGCAGTGTCGCTGTTACCATTAATTCACCATCAGAATGTACACCCTGGGCCCCCGGGGAGCACCCCACATGGCTCTGACAGCCCCTCAGCCAGAAAATGCATTTTTGAGTGACAAGGCCAGACCAGAGCTCGGTTACTCAGGGACATCACACTAGTTTTGCTTTCTTAGAAATGTGAGCCCATCAGATCACTGTGATCCTGAGAACTGAAATTCCGGAAGAGTGGATCCATGTGCAAAACCAGAGGGAAAATTTCTGCGATCTAGAGGCCACAGCTGTTTTCTGGGAGGCTGGGCTCTTATGAGGAGGAATGTAGCATTAGGATTGGAGGAAGACTCATTCACAACCTGCATTGTGCAGATGACACACCTTACTTGCTGAAGCTGAGGAGGACCTGAAGCGCTTGCTGCAGAAGGTAAAGGACTGTAGAATATGGATTGACACATAAGATGAAGAAAACAAAGATTCTAATCACTGGGCTAATTGGTAGCTTTATGTTGGATGGAGCAGAGATTGAGATTGTTGATAACTTCAGCTTGTTTGACTCTACAATCAATATTCTTGGCACCAGCAGTCAGGAAATCAAAAGACAAACTGCACTGGGAAAGTGCTGTCAGGGCCCTCTCTAGAGTGCTAAAGAGCAACACTGTCAATCTAGAGACTAAGGTGCTTCTGATACAGGTCGTGGTCTTTGCAATTACCTGCTATGCATCAGAGAGCTGGACAATAAGTAATGACACAAACAGGATCGATGCCTGTGAGTTGTGCTGGAGAATAGTATGGAACACACCATGGACCACCAGGAGAACAGATTTGTCATGCAGAGGGTGAAACCAGTCTGATTCCTGGAGGCAAGGATTTTGAGGCTCCATCTCACATAATTTGGCCAAAGGGCCAGGAAGGACCAATCCTTGGAGAAGGACATCATGCTTGCAAGTGTGCAGAAGAGAAAGACCCAGAATGAGATGAGTTGATGCAGTGATTGGAGAAATGGGGTTAGGTCTGTCGGAGACGTCAGGATCGGGCAGGTTTCAGAGCTGAAGTACGTGAGATCGCTGAGTCACAGGCGACTTGATGGCACATAACAGCAGCTTTGCAGGCTCCATCTTTGGAAAGCTCAGAAGCTGGTCATGAGCATGGGGTAGGAGGGGCCAAGGGGCTGTGGGTGGACAGGCCTTCTCAGGGGACCCAGCCTGGACGGTTGCTCGCCAGCTGGAGCCTGTGTCACAGAGCACTAACTGGAGCGACCGGCTCAGGCCAACAGGAGGCCAAAGAGGTCTGCATTCCTCTTTCCTGTCAGAGGACAGTGGTAGTGGTCTGTCCCTGTTTCTGAGAACTGAGGACAATGGTCTGTCCCTATGTCTGAGGACAATGGCAGTGGCCTGCTGCTCACTGGCTGGCTGGGTGCCTGAGCTCCACTCACCAGCATTCCTTGCAGGGGAAGCAGGCCCCGGATGCGGAAGCGGCTGGTCCCAGCGCTGCCCCGGCTCGTGTACAGGAGCATGTCGGAGAACTAGAGGTGGAAGGGAGGTCTTGTCAAGGGCCTCAGTACAAGCTGAGGAGAGGCCAGCCCTGGGCTTGGCTCATTGGAGACAGCTAGTAGAAAATGGAGTTTTCATTTCACCCCCACTGTGCTTTCCACCTGTGACTTAGGACAGCCACGGACCTAGTGCCTGCAGAGTGCTGGCCAGGACAAGAAGACCCGCAGTCATCCTTGCCAGACACCCACACATACCAGGCCTGTGAGCCCAGGCTGCCCACGGACACCTACCAAGAAGAACATCCTCTGCTGGAGCCCCTTCTTGGTGAGCTTGCACAGGCAGCCCTCACGGATAAACTCCTGAAAGGCAGAGGCTGCCATTAGCGCCCCTGCAAGGCCACCACAGGTGCCCACCACAGGTTCCGGCACCAGCCCACCACAGGTGCCCACCACAGGTTCCCGCACCAGCCCACCACAGGTGCCCACCACAGGTGCCCACCACAGGTTCCCGCACCAGCCCACCACAGGTGCCCACCACAGGTGCCCGCACCAGTCCACCACAGGTGCCCACCACAGGTGCCCGCACCAGCCCACCACAGGTACCCACCGCAGGTGCCCACAACAGGCATTCCTGCTAGCCCACCACAGGTACCCATCACAGGCGCCCCCGCCAGACCCCAACAGGTGCCCACCACAGGTGCCCTTCCCGCAGGCACCCTCATCAGTGCCCCCAGGTGCACTTGTCAGCCCTCTCAGATGCCCTCTGCAGGCTCCCTTAGCACCACCACAGACAGAACCCTCACTCATTTTCCCCACCATAACAAAAAGAGGAGGTTAAAGAGAAATTTCTGGAAAGTTAACCATGAAGATGACATCTGAGTTTGCTTGGAAACTAATGGGGGTGGAGCAGGGGCAGGTTTGAGAATAGGAGCAGGGACACACACCCCACTGAGTGGTCATGGGTGCTCACTGTCGCCAAGTGACAGAGCTTTAAGGAGTATTTACAATGTCACAAATGCCTTACAACTTAGAGGCAAGAAGCCATGGTGGGTGGGGTGGAATACCCAACTGCAGGGGTCTGGTGGGGGCGCCATGCTGAAGGGAACTCGGCACGCTCCATCCTCCCGTGGCCCTGGTCCTGGGGCCATTGACCACCATGCTCTGCTGACCTCAGTCCATCCCCTGTGACCCTGCTTCCTAGGCCACCGTGCTCTGCTAACCTCAGTCTTGTCCATCAGCCTCGGCTCAGACACATACCAGGTTCTTTTCCTGACTTCCACATATGTAACTTCCGGAAATGAGGAGCCCTGGATTATCACGCCTACTCTGGAGGGTTCTGGGCACCTCCTAGCCTGAGCTGGTCACACGTGTCAGCCTGAGGTGGCATGATCTGTCCAGATCACAGGGCATCGAGGAGTCAGTAGAAAGCCTTGGCCCAGGGCAGCCATGCACCATGGTCCTGCACATTGTACTTGTTACCCGGTCCCCAGAACACCCACGGTCAGCAGTCCTACTGTCATTAGTGGCCAGGGTAGTAGTGGTCAGCCAGGTGGCCCAACACCCAGTTGTAGCCAGACCTGTAGGACAGGAAGGCATCTGACATTCTAGTTTTTCCATCGCTCTATCCAGAGGCCCATTTCAATACTGTTTCAGGCCATGTTCACACATGACTGGCACACACAGGCTGAACACAGGTGCTTTGGGAAGGTAGCCCTCAGAAGACCTTTCCTTGTTCAGTGGTCAGTTTAAATGGGAGGCATTGGTGTTGGAACACAGCTCAACAGACACAAAACAATAGAGCAGACTAGAAGCTAGCTGGTTCCTGACTAGGTGTCCATTCAGTAGGGTAAGGACAGTCTCTTCATCTGCACGTAAAAATAACAGAGTTGGACCCCTACCTCACATCACATAAAAATTACCCCAAAACAGTTCAGTGCCCAAACATATGAAGCTGCTAGAAGAAAACACATATGTCAACTTTGGACAGGGGAATGTTTTCCTGGAAACAAAAGGAGTCAACAGCCAAAGTAAGAAAACTGGCCTTGATCAAAGTGAAAAATTTTGTGTCTCAGAGGATACTGTGAAGAAGTGAAGAGGCAGCCTGTAAAATATTGGGAAGGATGTAGCTCACAATATGTAAACAATTCCTGGAACTCAATTTTAAAAATTCCAGTTAAAAACTGGACAAAGGATTTGAATAGACATTTCTCCAAAGAAGGGATACAAATGAGTGACCAGGACGTGAAAAGATGCAAGCTTCACTGGTGAAATGCAGACCCAAACCACACTGAAATGCCACTTCGTCCCTACTCAGTGGCTGCACTGAGGACAGTAAGCACAGCCTCTCTGCTGGTCAGACCAGGATGTGGTGGAGAGCAGCAGTGGAGGCCCGGGGGCCCACATGAGACCACTGTCTTGGGAATACTGTCCCATGGAGCCAGGGTCAGGGGCCTTTGCCCAGGCATGCTGGAGAACTGTGGTGGTGATGCCAGGACCTAAAGCCACAAGGCTGAAGGGCCTGTGAGCACACATGAGAAGCTCACTGTCCTGACTGAAGAATTACATTCTGTTTCCAACTGGAACCATAACCTCGCAATATCTCCAGAAAACCTCATATCCTGGCTCTGTGTGACCACCGCAATGAATAGCGGACCCAAGGGCAAGGTGGTGAGAGCCTGGTGTTGGAACTGATTGAAGGGGTTCCAGGAGTGTAGAGGCATGTCTGACTTCATGGGTATCTGTTTTATTTTGTTGGTGTTGGTGTTGTTGATGGGGACTGTTCCCCCTTATGGGGTTCCTGGGAGCAGATATGGCAGCCTCAGACTGCCGAACTCTTTCAGGGTTAAACATAGAGTTACCATGTGATCCAGCAATTCCTCTCCTCAGTATATGCCCAAAGGAATTGAAAGAGCCAGCTCTCACTGACATGCCCACTGTTGTCAAGTGGATGCCAACTCATAGCCACCCTCTATTGAGTTTCTGAAGACCATCTTTGTCCCTGAAGGTCAGTAGTCCAATACATGACCCACTATGCTATCAGAATTCCATGCACTAATACTCATTACAACATTACTTACAATGCCAAAAGACAGAAAAAACCTAATACCTATCAACAGATGGATAATCAGTGTGGTCTATCTGTACAGTGGCCTGAACCACGTTCTGCCACATGACACTCAGGTGATGGGAAAACTGAGTGAAGCCAGTCACTCAGAATGCCACACACTGTGACCTCACTTCCATGAGCTGTCAAGATGGGAAAGCCCAGAGAGATAGGGCCTGGGTGAGGGGGTGAGGAGCTCTGGGGTGACTGCTCACGTGCCTCTGACTGCAGTGATGAGAACCAGACAGCGGTAACAGCCGTTGACCCTCTGAGCATAAGAAGTCCCTCAGGAGGTGAATATGTCTCCTCTAGAACCTACTGGGGGTGGCTCGGGCCCCCAGCACTCACCCTCCCGGGCACCACGAGGCCCTCAATGCCAACCAAGTCCCGCTGCAGCTCCCTCAGCTTCTGCAAGTTCTCCAGGCGGATGAGGCTGTGCTGGAGTGCGGAGGTCACCTCTGTGGTAGCCGTCAGTGCATCTGTGGGGGACATCATGGATGACAGGGACCACTGCATTGAGAGCTATGTCCCGTCAATCTCTCCACAGCTGAGGGTGACAGTGACCAGCATTCTCAGAACCACTGTCCCTAAATTCCTCCATGGCCCAGGCCCTCGCTGGATGGCTGCGCATGGCTCTAGGCTCAGTCAAGGAGAGGCTGGTCTTCATAATAGTGAGCGTACACACTTCAAGGAGACCCTTGGCCAACAGGAGAGTGAGGGCACCCCATTAGTGGAACCACTGTATTCACTAGGTAATTTACTGGGGAGACAAATTGCTTCCTGCAAGATGATTAGCTTCACACAACGTCAATTATGGGAAGCCAAATTTCATACTAAATATCTGTAATAAACAGAATGCTATTTCCAAATGGAATCCACTCTGAAGCACTAAGGCAATCCTTAAGCATTTCCAGGATGCTTACATTGTATTTGCTGACCCCTCCCTCCTAAATCAAGCAGAAGGTTTTCAATAGAAAGAGCTTAGCTTCATTTGAATTGAATTTGTGATTTACTCCTGGGCAATTTTCAATAAAGATAGAGGGAAGCTGGAATCTGGCGCTTCAGTTTGCTTCATTTGTTCCCTCCTGATTTGCCTGTTTTTTTCCCCCTGCATTCTTGGTGTTCTGTCTCATAATTGATGCTTATTAATATACTTTACCTCCGTCTGCAACAGTCAATGGATGTTTGAAACACCTGAGCTCACCATGGTGGCAACAGAAAAGCAATCAAAGCTCTAAACGATATATGTTGTTCAGGATTACATGGCAACTGGGCTGTTCCCTCCTCAGGGCTCCGCGTGGAGGTCGTGGGCTGTTACACAGGGAACCACACAGAGGTTCAAGGCCGTTTCCTCCTCGGGGCACCTCGTGGAGGTCATGGGTCATTCCTCAGGGATGAGTGAGGTGGGGTGCTGTTCACTCCTATTGCCTGCTCCTTGCACAGTGTACAGTGTGTGTGGACGTTCCCCTCAGCAGTGCGGTGGTGTGGTCATGCCATTGTCAGTGAGAACCTGCTTGCTGAGTGGGTCCCAGATCCCCAGAACAACCAGGGGTGAAGCTGTCCTGTCCTGCATGGCAGACCACACTGCACTGATCTCTAACAGGCTCCTGAGCTAGTCCTAGGAGATAGGTTGTAGAGGGGAGACTGAGGCTGAGTGTAGTACAGTGACTGCCTGAAGGCTGGTTGCTTGTCCAATCCTCCTAATATGGCCCCTCCAAGTTGGAAGCACCCCCCTGTAGCTGTCCTGGGTGCGAGTCATTGAGGACCCTCGCCTCGTGGGTGTGCCTGGAGCTGCTCTGGCCAGTTGTGTCTCATCTTCAGGAGCCCTGTGGCATCGTCCATTGTGTCTGACTGCTAACACAGGCGGCCAGCTGGAGTCCACTAACTGTTCCAAGGAGGAGACTTACAGCTTTGGGAATGTGATGGAGGGTCCCTGTGAGTGGACCAGAATTGGTGGTAACAGTGGCTCTGGTTTTGATCTTCCTCTCTCGGCAAACATGGACACTCCTGCTCTTAGTGATGAGGTCAGCATTGGCGGCGGAGGGTCACCCTCCTTTGAGCCCATCACAGCTGTGGGAGCAGAGGAGTCTCTATATGTGCTCACCTGGCCTTCTCAAAGACAGCTGTCAACACGTCAGATGTCCTGAATGTGCCACATTTACACTCCCCCTCATCTGTCTCTGTCATGCTGGGGTGGCTTGTGAGGTGCTAGGAAGCGAGAGCCTAGGCTACAGGCATTTCACACACCAGCAGTGTCCTGACGGGGAAAAGGGTACAGGAGAACTTCTAGACCTCATTCAGGATTGATTGTCTAGAGGTCTACTGGTGGAGGTGAGTACTGGGTAACGGGTGATGAGTGAACACTGGCTGGCCTAGGGCCTGGTGCTGGAAGGTGAACTCAGGCCGGGAGGCACTCAGGACACAGTGGCTGCAGCCATGTGCTCGAGCAGGCCAGCTACAGGTGGTGCAGGCTGGGCAGTGGTTTGCTCTGTGTACATGGTGGGGGGACCGACTCCAGAGCAATGGTAACAACAGACATTCATACTCAAATTAAGGTCATGCTCATAGCTTTAAAAAGCCAGCATTCATTTCTTACCTTTTAAAACATGATAAAGTTTGTCTCTACAAGAAACTTCCTGTGGACATCCTAGCCATGGCGCGGGTTTGGAGCTTAGGCCTCTGGGTCAGGGGCTAGCTGTCCCTGTCACTGAAGGCCCGCTCACCGTGGGCCCATGTGCTGTGAGCCTTGATTCTGGGATCCACTCATCCCACAGCCTGATCTTCATGGGCCTTGTTCCTGTGGTCTACTCCTCACAGGCCCATTTCCTGTGGCTCACTCACACCACAGCCTGATCGCCACAGGACCCCTCAGCACAGGCCCACTTCCTATGGTTGACTCACCCCACAGCCCACTCCCCATGGACCCACCTCCTGTGGTCTAGTTTCCCCACAGCCCACACCCCACAGGTCCACTTCCTGTGGCCCTTTTATCATGGGCCTTCCTGTGGTCCATTCACCCATGGCCCACATCCTGTGGCCCACTCCCCACTTCCTGTAATCCAACTCCCCCATAGCCTACTCCCCACGGGTATACTTCCAGTGGTTCACTCACCCCTTGCATCCTCTCACCATGGGCCCACTCACCCCACACCTTATTCACCAAGGACTCAACTCACATCCTGCTCACCCTGTGCCCACTCACCCTGGCAGTCAAGGAGGTCGGGGTGACCAGGTGGGAGATGTGCACACAAGCGAGCCAGCAGCAGCCGGTAGTGGGCCAGTCGCTGCGTGGGCTTCAGAAGAAACGAGTTGAGAGGCAGGTAGCAGACTTTCTGAAGCTCAAACTCCTTGTATAAGGCCTCCAGCTTCTTGGAGCACTTGGTGGCCTTGTCCAGCTCGGTCAGCACTTCGTCATGCTTCTGAAAGCAGCTGGTGAATTCCTGTTGGGATACAAGGGGTTCTAGTCAGTGAGCATGGAGGACCTGCTCAGAGCATGTGTCCAGGATCCCAATGTGCACCTCAGGATGAGCTGGAGACTGGTAGACAAAATTGTAGCCCTATGTGCAGAGAGGTGCTCTCAATTCCAAGGTAGGATCAGGGGCTCTTCCTCAGTCCCTCTCAGCAAATGAGGGGACAGAGCTTGCTTGCCATCTGCAGATGGGATGGAATGCAGGAGCTAGGCCCTCCTTGTGCCATGCAGGCAAGACCGGACACAGACCATCCTTGCCCAGGGTGGTGGAAGAGGTGCTGCGGACCTGTCTCCAGACAGCTGTAAGCACACAGGGGTCTCTGCACCTGGGTGTGGGAGGGCCAGGGCCCCTTATTGGATTTGTTTGTAAAGGAGACTTGGCCAAGTGGTCTGAAAAGCTTCTAAGAGCTGACAGAGGGAAAATAATTTAACCTAAAATTGGGGTGAGTGCTTCTGAGGTGGGAGGGAATTTAAAGTCGCTCAGAAATCTAACAGGGCAATAGGGGTGAGTGAGAAAGTATACTGAAGGGGACACAGTGTCCTGAGCAGCACAGTGTGGAGCGGCCAGGATGGTGTGTGAAGGACATGGTGTTGAGGGGCTTGAAGTGAGTACTGGGAGGAAGTACAGTGTTAAGGGACAGGGAAGCCGTGTTGTGAGGGTGAAGGGTTCTGGGTGTTCAGTACTGAGAGAAGGTAAATAGTGAGGAGGTAGAAAATTTTTGGGGTGAATAATAGTGGAGGGAGAAAGGGTTAGGGGGAGTAGTGTCCAGAGAGGGTACATTGTACTGAGGGGGTGAAGTGTTGTGGAGGTGTGAAGGGTTGTAGGGGGTTACACTATAGGGAGAGGGTAACTGTTGTGGGGGTAAGTTTGTGAGGAGTAAAGGGTTGGGGGATGCAGTGTAAGTGGTTTTAAGTGTTGGAGGTGAAGTGTTGTGGAGGTGAAGTGTTGGAGGTGAGGTGCTGGAGGTGAGGTGTTGGAGGTGAAGTGTTGGAGGTGGAAGTGTTGTGGAGGTGAAGTGTTGTGGAGGTGAAGTGTTGTGGAGGTGAAGTGCTGGAGGTGAAGTGTTGGGAGGTGAAGTGTTGGAGGGGAAGTGCTGGAGGTGAAGTGCTGGAGGCGAAGTGTTGGAAGCGAAGTGTTGGAGGTGAAGTGTTGGAGGTGGAGTGTTGGGAGGTGAAGTGTTGTGGAGGTGAAGTGTTGTGGAGGTGAAGTGCTGGAGGCGAAGTGCTGGAGGCGAAGTGTTGGAGGTGAAGTGTTCTAGAGGTGAAGTGCTGGAGGTAAAGTGGTGGAGGTGAAGTGTTGTGGAGGTGAAGTGTTATGGAGGTGAAATGTTGGAGGTGAAGTGTTGTGGAGGTGAAGTGGTGGGAGGTGAAGTGTTGTGGAGGTGAAGTGTTGTGGAGGTGAAGTGTTATGGAGGTGAAGGGCTGGAGGTGAAGTGTTGTGGAGGTGAAGTGTTGTG